TGACACTGTGTCACGGCGAATATTAGATATTTCGGAAGATCTCAATGAACAATTATTTGAAAAATTAAAAAATAACGTTTTTGGCCTTCAAGTTGATGAAGTGACTGATAAACATAGGCAATATTATTTATTGGCTTATGTTAGATTTATTGATGATAAGGATATAAGAGAAGAAATACTTTTTTGTGAGTCCTTAACCACTAATGCTACTGGAAAGTGTATTTTTGATATTATTGACAATTTTTTTAAACAACATGATAAGCAATGGAAGAAATGCGTTGGTTTATGCACGGATGGATCCAGGGCTATGGCAGGCCAGTACAATGGACTTCAAGGTTTGGTTAAAGCTGCCCCAAACATCAAATGGACTCATTGCATCATTCATAGATAGGTGCTTGCCTCAAAAGATTTGAGCCCTAACCTAAATTAAATTCTTCAAACTGTCGTTCAAACAGTCAATTTAATAAAAACATAGCCGCTACAGTCAAGGTTGTTTAAAGTTTTGTATGAAGAAATGGGCTCGGAGCATACAGCACCGCTATTTCACACCGAAGCTCGGTGGCTATCTCGGGGAAATATTTTAAATAAAATATTTGAACTTGGAAATGAAGTATTTATGTTTTTAAAAAATTGTAAAAAACCTTCAGCAGAGTTGTTCTGCGATACGCAGTTCTTTTTGAAGCTAGCTTACCTTACGGATATTTTTTCAAAAATTAATGTGTTGAATAAATCTCTACAAAAAGAAAAAGTCAAAATTTTCATTTGAGAAGAAAAGATACAAGGCTTTATTAAAAAGTTGTCACTGTGGGAGGCTGCTTTGAAAACCCGGGATTTAACCGTTTTTCCAACATTATTGAACATGGTGCAAGAAGTTGAGTGTGAGGAGATTCTTCAAGAACAAACAACATGTTTTGTAAATCATCTGTCAACTTTAAAAGAAAAATTTAAAGAATACTTTTATGAAGATCTGCAACCATTTCTTTAAGTAAAACAACTATTTAAACCGTTGAAGGAATGTTGTTCATNTATTTCAACCGTTGAAGGAATGTTGTTCATTGAGTTTGGCAGAACAAGAACAGCTCATTGATCTTCAATGTGATGAGTTTTTGAAAGCTACATTTGAACAAGACAACTCACTAACAAGATTCTGGGTAAGTGTAAAAGAAGAGTGCCCGATATTGTTTGAAAAAGCCATGAGAATACTAGTCCCATTTGCTACTACGTATTTGTGTGAAACAAGCTTTTCCGCCCTAGCATCAATGAAGTCTAAGTACCGTGGAAGACGACTGGATGTCAGCAAAGAATTGAGAGTAGCTTTATCAAATATCTCTCCTCGTTTCACCAAACTTTGTGATGAAAAAAAACAAGCCCACCCATCGCATTAAAATTGGCCGATTGATTAAAACCTTTAATAAAAAATACATTTTATTTTAAAATAAATTGGTAATGTTATTATCAATATAAGCCTATAATTTTTGTTTTTTTTTAACTTTTTGTTAATCTAAACTTGACTATTAAAATTATTTTTATAAGGGGGGACTAGGCCTGAAAAGTTTGAGAACCTCTGCTCTAGATATTTACTTGCTCATAAAGTGGTATTCATAATAGATACTTATGAACGAAAAGTAAACTTTATTGTGTTATTTTGAACAAATTAAAAAATTTTAGATATTGCAATCGCAAACCGTAAAATTATAATTACACAAAGTATTGTGAAATATTACAGATTTCCATCAAAACGTTTTATGATAATGATGTTAATTACTGTCAGATATCTATATTTGTCTCGATTATGCCGAGTCTTCACTGTCCTTGAATTTTTAGCATAGATGCGAAGCTGAGAAGGTATTGGTTTTACTAAGATGGGTTTTTTTTTTATTTTTTTTTTTTTGTGTCTGTTACCACTTTTTCTCAGCTCTCACCGAACAAATTTCTTTCAACAATACGTCAAAAGATCACAAATCATATCTAGCCAAAGACATTACCCTTAAAAATTAAAAAAATTTCCCGCGTTCCCCGTAAATGGGGGAAAACTCCAAAAAAATTACAAATTTAAAAATCGCTAATTTTCGAAATTTTTTCAATTTTTTTTACTAAAAACTGCCGTAACTTTTTTAAAAATGAACATATTAATATAATTTTTTTTTTATAGTTGCTTGATGTCTTTACCTATCATTTGGTATATATTTTTTATAAATATAACCCTTTTAACACAATATGACCCTTTAACAGGCCACAGGAAGAATTTTAAAATGGTAACAATGACAAAATTTACCGATTTTTTTTGGAGATCTCCCCCATTTGCGAGGAACAAGGGAAAATTTTTCAATTTTTAAGGGTAATGTCTTCAACTAGATACGATTTGTGATCTTTTGACGTACTTTTGAAAGAAATCGGCCCAGTGAGACCTGAGAAAAAGTGGCAACAGACAGATTTGAACCTCGTACCTTGTAATCGTGAATGAGACAAGTGTTACCGTTTCGGCAACTGTTCGTTACTTTCGTAACATGGAAAAATTGGCTATTTAAAAATAATTATTAGAATAATATTTAATAAAATAATTATTTAGGAAAAAAAAAATTTGTGCTCCTTACATTTTTCGAAAAGTTATAGCATTTTTAAGTTGAAAATTTAAAATCGAAAATCGAAAAATTTAACACAAAAAAAGCGTTTTCTTAACTATGGCACCCGTTTGCATGTAGAAGATAAAGTGTCGGAACAAATTTTTTTTTTCATTTTATAGCACATAAAATAAGCTTTAATTTGATATATATTTAAAGGACGCAGTATTTCCTGAACATTTTCAAAAGTTAAGTTGAAAAAGTTAGTTTTTGTAAAAAAGTTGCTATTTTAAATCCCCCCAATGAGCAGGTTAAGTGTTAGATTTTCAAAAAAATGATATCAAATTAAAGGGAAATATCTAAGGTTTTAGTATAAAAAAAAATTATGTTGATTTGTTGGTTTTTGAAAAAGTTATGGAAGTTTTAAGAAAAAAAGTAAAAAAATTTCGAAAATTAGCGATTTTTAAATTTGTATTTTTTTTGGATATTTCCCCCATTTGCGGGGAACGAAGGAATTTTTTTCAATTTTTAAGGGTAATGTCTCCAACTAGATACGATTTGTGATCTTTTGACGTATTGTTGAAAGAAATCGGTCCAGTGAGAGCTGAGAAAAAGTGGCAACAGAAAAAAAAAAAAAAAAACATGGTAAAATTTATATATTCTCAGCTTCGTATGGAAGCTAAAAAAATACTATTTATGTAAAATAATTCTTTTTTATATTTTTAACTTTATAATGCTATAAATTTTTGGAAAATGTATGGATTAATAAATTTTTTTTTGTATGAAATGTAATATGGATCAATACATTTTTTTATGAGAAATAATATTTATATCCCTTTTTCATTCGACATACATTATCTCAATCAGGATATTAATAAGGAAATAGCAGATTATGTAGTTTTTGGAATAATCCACCAATTTTTTAAAATTAAACACTATCTAAAGATTTGCAACGAACCGATTTTTTTTATTGTGATTTTAATAACTGTCAGATATTATTACGCTTGATCCAACTATGCCACGTCACCACTGCGCCCACGACCAAACTATCTGAATCTATGTTATCTCATCTTATCCACGATTGACACTACTCCTATTCTCCCTCTCATTAGTTCGTTCCTTATCCTATCTTTTTTAGTCACTCCACTCATACATCTAAGCATTCTCATCTCTTCTTCACTCATTCTCTGATCTACTTTCTTATCAAACACCCAACATTCTGAACCATATATAATATCTGGTCTCACTATAGTCTTACAGAATCTACTTTTCAGCCTCGATAGAATTCTTTTATCGCATTACATATCAGAGTACTCTCTCCACTTTAACCACCCACACTTACTTACTGCACAGTTGGCTTCTTTGCACAAGCGTTTATACTCCATCCAGTCTTACCTTCTTTTGCTCTTCTGCCATACTTTGTATTGCTTTTTCTTACTTTCTATGATTTTTTGAACGTCCTCATCCCACTACCAGGTTTCCTTGTTTCCTGGCATTCTACTCCTACTCTCACCAACAATCTCCTTTGCAGTATTCTTTGCACAACTAGCAAATCTAATCCACACATCATTTATGTCTTCCTCGACATTCCACACCGTCTTCTTTTTTATGGTGTTTACAAACTCTTTTTCATTTTCCCCTTTCAATTTCCACTGGATCTTCGATTTTTCCGCTGTGTTTCTTTTATTTTTGTTGTTTCTTTTTTTGGTATACCACAACTCCATTACCATCAGTCTATGTTGTGTAGTACACTCTCGCATGGTATAACTTATTGATAGACGGAGATTTATATCTCCGCCTATCACTACATCCTCATTGCCAGTTACCCCTTGCATCACCTCATCCAACTCTCTCCAAAACACTTCCATGTCTATTTCATCACATCTTACTTTTGGTGCATAGGCACTTATTACATTCTGCATTTTTTCTTCAAATATCAATTTTACGACCATAATTCTGTCACTTTTCCTAGCTACTTCTACTACTCTACTTTTCATCTCCTCATCCATTATTATCCCTACACCATTCTTTGTAGTAGATTTACCTGAGTATAATATTTTATAACCCTCGCCTACTTCTCTTGATTTCTCTCCTTTCTACTTAGTTTCCAGCACACAACAAATGTTAACTTTTCTCCTCTTCAATACTCCTACTAATTCTCTACTTCTACCAGTTAATGTTCCAACATTCCAAGTACCTATTCTTACTTTAATTTTATTTAATACCAATCACTAATAAATTTAGTCGTTTCGCTAATCCTTTATTTTTAAATTTATGTAGAATAAACATTATTTTATTGAATTTATCCAATATTTTAGTAAAGATAAAATCTACCATAATAGTGTAATTATGAACTATACCCCCTCATTTAATAGATGTCTCAATATTGTTCACATTAGTTTAACATGTAAAAGATTAATCTACGTATATTAAATATAGGAGAACTAATTTGGAAACAAACACGAGGGCATCCAGAATTAAATACTACCAAACTTTTTAATAAAAATGATATAGTTTATGTAGAGTTTCCTGTTATAATACCAGATTGTAATTCTGATGGTGTTAATGAATTGGCTTTGGTTCAGCAAATAAACAATACGCCCTCAATAACTATCGCTTCTGGAAAAAGTGGAAGACCAATGATAAGTAATATTTATAATGAAAACTGTACAAAGATAACCGATCTTATACTGAGCTACGACGTTTCTTTAGTATATATTTGTCGAAGAAATTCCGGAGTTGGTAATGATTAACTTTTTTACTTTTTATATCAGACTAAGTTGTTGGCTTATGTAGTTAGATTAAATGCAACGGAAAATTGTATAATTATAACAAAACATCTATTTCATAGACTATAAATAAATATTATTTGTTTAAAAAGATCTTCTGGAATAATTTTGGTCAAGTCATTCATTTTAAATATGAATTTATTCTTTAATATTGTCTTAGCTAGCAAGACATTGGGACGCCCTATAAAATATGCACTACCCCAATACTTTGTTATAATCAGCCAAAATAGTATAAATATTCGTAGAAAGTTACACAAAAATAATTATGTAAGAACAGAGTGGTTGGTTTTGGGATGCGTCGATGTCTTGTCTAAGTTTGCCAACTTTTTTTAAATTAAAATTATTAAAATTGTTATTTGCAAAAATAATTTCATAGACGATGATTTAAATATTTCTTCTTAAACAAAATTTTTGGTAGAAATTTAAACAATACAGTTTTCACCATGAACTACACATGATGTTAATCTCAAAGTTGGTAAAACAAAAACTTTTACTATAAATTGCCAGATAATAGTTTGACGGAGTTGAGAATTATGTATGGTTATTAAGTTACAATCGATGATTAAATGTTTTATAGTATATTATATTTATATTATTATACAAAATAACAAATGAATGTCGTCAAAAGTTCCGTAGTGGTTTCCGTAAGGAAATGAATTATTGGTATGCTTATGTCATTCGCGGTTACCCAAAGTAACGCGACCTATCTGACGAGGAGAGCCAGTGTGTTGCAGTTGCCATTTGGCGATTAGGCCGAAGTTGCGATTCGACCGTGTCATACTTCCTCTCCAGCCCGACTGGTCAGCTAACACCGCGTGCCTAGGGAAACTGGTTTGTTGGCCCTTTCTACAACTCAGTGAAGTCTGGGGCCACAATTTGCGGGGCATCCCAGACTGAGTCTTTTAGCTCAAACACAATATCGTATAGCTGTACGAAGTCCATGTATATTTGTATCCTTCGGTCTTCTCCGACAAATACCAAGAGAAGATTATGTTTATGGTTGTCGGACATGTTGTATCCAAAAGTTTTTTATTAAAATTATCTCCTGAGGCGTCATGTTTGATGGCAGTGACATGCAGCTTTTTCTGGCGTTTTCTTTTGGTCGCAAACACTTCCTCGTCTAATATTTTTGCTAGTTTCACGAGGCCAAGCCACATAGGAGTAGATCTCGCGAGAAACTGTTTATCAGTGTTGGATAAAAGGGATGTGCGCAGTAATATACTTAATTCCCTTCCTCAAGGTAAATCGGTTTGTCAATCCGGAGCTTTCGTACATACTGGGCCAAAGTTGGATCTTTGGCTTGTCAATTTCTAGTGTCGAAAATAGCGATGATCTTCGGGTAAGCATCCTTTTTTTTATTTCCACTAATTGACTTTGTTCGGATAAATCTCCTGACTTCTGACAGATCTTTATCTACCGGAGTTTTCTCCACATTCTATCTCACTTGCATCCGTATGAACATTAAACGATTGTCCCTAAAGTAGGGAACAGTATCGATGTGCAGATATAAGTGCTTCTTTTAGCTATTGGAAAGCCACAATGCTCCTCCATACTAACTGAGTAGATAAGATATTGTTTAGGTACATAAACACATATTTAGCGACTTATCTACTGGTGGGAAATTCGTTCACCAGTGCTCAGTTTGGTTGTATTACTCCAGATGAGCTTTTTTACGGTTTAACAATTTCTTTTTCTGGTAGCAGTTTCTTATTTGCCCATTTGAAGCTATTCCCTTCTATGAAATACTTTTTCTCTCGGGCCGCTGCTCCCGGAAGGAATCTTCAAACCATTGGCCAGCTCTAGCAGATCTTCCATTGATCACAGACACTGGAGCGCTGTGGAGATCATTGCGTATTTAGCTCCGTATCGCTTTGCTGTTTAACTTACTTAAAAATTGTTGTCGGAATACTGTCATATGAGGTTCAAACAGCGAATGGTACCACACCATTTACATGCCATAGAGTGTTGGAGTCATCTTGTTTCTTATCGGTAAAATCCAGAAGAGAATCACGTGCCAACTATGTCGCAGTCACTATCCTGCGGTTATGCCGGAGTTGTAATTCGACCGCGTCAAGTTCAAAATTAGTTTCATAATTTTCTAATTTGTCTAAATTTATATGTGATAAAACAATAGCTAAATTTTCAAATACTTAATCTAAAAATTGTATTACAGTAAATCTATTATTTAAAAATTTATGTATGTACGAGGTGTATTTAAAAAATAACGGGAATTTCGTTTTTGAAAAAAATATTTATTTATTCGTGTATGTCGCATATAAAAAAGTCCCTATTCGATATTATACACTTGTGCCAACGCTTCTTCCAATATTCTAATCACTTTTTAAACTCTATCTTTGGGATAGCCTTCTAAACCTTTGTTTTACTCTTGACAAACTCACAGTAGTCATTTGTTAACATTTTACACACTTTGTTACAATTTAATTCATTTTTAACGCAAAATTTTATTCAAATCCTTTGATCAATTTTTTTTAACAAACGAAAATCGGCGATGTCATAATAACACATCTAATCAATCTTAGCAGCCACCACTGACAAAGTAAAAAATGAAACCAGCAGAAAATGTTATCATACTCATAAACGTGTGTACCAACATTATAAAAAAAAATTTTAATAATCGTACTCTCCTCCATACCCGCGAAATTTAAAAATTCCTGTTATTTTCTGAACACACCTTGTACAAGTATAAAATTTTCATCTGCGATTGTTACGTGAAATTTCAGATTCTCTGGAAAAAGTTCAAATTAAAAGAATATTAAACTGCACCGGAGATTGGATACCAGATTCTGTATACCAAACCAAACGCGAACATGATAAAAGTGATGATAACAAATATTCATTAACAGCTGGAAACTATATTTTAAATTTAACAAATAAAGATAGTTCTAAAAACTGTCCAGCAGAATGCAATGTTTTTTTGATAATCATCAACAGTTTTGGTGATAAAATATGGTCTAAACAATATAATCAGTCATATGCAATGAATCCTGTATCTTTTGAACTTCGAAACAACATATACGGTTTCATTGTTAAATTATGGATTTTAACAAAAGAAACGGTTAGTAGATTTTATGATCTTAAGTTAAAACAGAGTAATAACAATTATTTATCAAAATCTTTTTTAATAATTTTTAAAATTTTATTAAGTAGTTGATCATACAAATGAAAATTTGAGTACTATAAATAAAAAAACATGATGCTTAAATTAAACTTGATTAAATTAAATTCTGATGACACCTTAGACATCTAGATATTAATAATTTTTTGGTAAAATGGTTAGTTATTGCTTCAACAGTACGTCTATTAATGAGACAAAAATTATGAAAACGAATTTGAATTTACTATGGATTAAGGGCATTCGAACAAAATGTTTGGAGGAAATAACTTAGTTTTTATCTTTTTTTTTAATTTATTTTGAATAAATGAACATGTAATTTTATAATTTTTTAGAAGGCTGCGATAAAATAAGGGAGCTATTGGATTACCCCAACACCTAAATTCCTGTGCTTTTAAGACATTACGTTTTAAGTGTAATAATATACGAGTCTTGAATACTTTATTAAGTATTACTATCAGTGAAGTAGTGTATTTAGGAGTAGGGTGTACGTTTTAACTTCCCTGAAACTATTTCAGATATATAGTTGAGAGTGTGCATTACCTACAGTAAGAATCTTTAGTGAAACTTTACTCGAACTAAAATCCTTTGCGTGTTACTGTATCGGAGTAGTAAATTAAAATTATAAAATATTGATAACATAATGGAAACAAAATACAGATGTATAATTAGTTATCAGATTTCAATGCAAAAAATATTATTTTGTTGTGGTTGGCGCGATGTCAATTGTCTGATCACTATTTAGTAAAGTAATCTTGATCGGTCATAATTTAGTCATAATAAAAAAAAAAAATAAATATCTTGTAAGCTAAACTCATTATAATATAGTTTAACTTTACAAGGATCCCGAGGAGGGTCTACCCTGGGCTGAGGCAAAAACAGAGCACCAGGATTTTTGGTACCTTATCCTAGGGGTAAGGTTATAAATAATATTTATGATTTAATATAATTATTAAAATTTATTAAATATTAATAACAATTTTTTTTATCATAACATAACGAAAGTACTTAAAAAGAGAATGGTACATAAAAACAAATTAAATAATTAAATACACAGATCCCAAATAAAAAGGTAAATATGGATGATAAAACTTTACAATAAAATATTAAAGTTAAGAGAAACAAAAAAAATTTTTTTGTATTATTATCTTTAGTTACACATTATTCTTGAATTTTTAACTATGTAATACTTTTTAAGTTCATCCCTTATGCCTTGGAAGGGGGTCAACTTTGTTTTTTTAAATGGTAACACATATTTTTAATTTAATAAAATGTTTGAGTTTTTAATTTAATAGTAAATGGCATTTGAATTTTTAATATAACTTTATTAGCTTATTAGATATAAACATTTAAAGTTTCAAAATTTTGAGTTAATATACATGTATAATACACATGGGATTGTAAATACAGGTAGCTAATTGGATTTTTATGACATTGCTGTCTCAGTCACGGATTGTTTATTATCAATTATGATTATCAATAGATATACTTTCTGTATTGTCAGTTAGTGTATTTATAAACTCATAACAATGTGCCTTACTACAATTGATAATAACAATGCTGTGTACCTGCTAATATCGATGTTAAAAAAAACCAATTAGCTACCTATATTTGTAATCCCTTGTGTATTATACCTGTATATTAATTAAAAAATTTGAAAATTTAAATGATTATATCTAATAAACGAATTAAGTTATATTAAAAATTCAAATGCAATTTACTATTAAATTAAAAACTCAAACATTTTATTAAATTCAAAATATGTGTTCCCTTTAAAAAAATCAAAGTTGACACCCTTACAAGGCATAAGGGATGAACATAAAAAGTTTTAAATAGTTAATAATTTAAGAATAATGTGTAACTAATGATAATGAAAAAATAAATGTTTAAATTATTATTATTATTCTGCAAGTGATTGAATGGGTTATGATAAAAAAATCACTCTGTATAGACAGTCATGCATCCAACAGCTTAGGTATTTTCTCCTAAAGAGTAATTTACTTTATTATGATAAATAGTATATCTATTTTCATAATTATAATATTAAAGAGTCAAATTAATTAATAAACATATAAAATAAAATAGGAGAATATAGGAAGAAAAAAACCTGAGCTTGACAGATCCAATGCACGTGTCAGGGCATAATGGACATGTCACCAACGTCATTGGGTAACCTCTACATTTATGTAGAGGGCCCACTGAGATGTTCACCATGTCCACCCTGACGACTCGCGAGAAACTGTCAGCTCTTGAAAAGGGAAATAATAAAAAAAATTGACCATTCATCATAGGAAATTAATAGTTAACCTCTATAGTCAGTAACTAAAAATGTAACCACATAATCACATCACTAATAAACAAATTACTTAAGTGTGATGGTGTCACGTTACCATTATTGTGAGAATTATTTTAATAAAATACAGACAGCACATCCGCTTCTTGAGACTGATGAATTAACAAATAATATTTATTGCCAAATTGGCAATAGTTATAATTATTATAAAAACCCAATAGACCTGACCATCGTGGTCAGTCGACTCCAGTGCCTTGTGTCATTCATCAGTCTCAGTACTCGGTTGTCACTGTCCGGCTTACTGCTTAAAGTAAAGTCTTTGTATATTCCTTTTTAAACCTATCTACTCTCTTCCACAACATTTCAGAGTACTTGTGTCTTGCACTTCGTCTGCACCTCGTACTTCATTATCCTCTCCTAATAACTAAAGTACTTGTGTCTTGCACTTCGTCTGCACCTCGTACTTTGTTATACTCCTTATCTGGTAGCCCAGTATTTGTGTCTTGCACTTCGTCTGCACCTCATACTCGGCTACCCCGTTCTCTCTTTAAAGTACTTGTGTCTTGCACTTCGTCTGCACATCCTCATTTTCATCTTCGTGCACATAACCTTTTACATATACTCATTTTCGTTTTATTGTGTTACGACATAAGTTAATTACTTAAAATATATATACACTGTGTAAGAAAAACAAAAAGATAAACAATACCACATAATCTAGCTGATGTCCAAGTTTTGATGTGTACATTGTTGATGTCATTATGATGGGCTAGCCAAAATGAAAAATATTACTCCATCATGAAGTTGACGGCAATGGAAAAAATCAAAATTGACAGTATGATGTAGTACTAAAAGGTGTGTAGATGACAAATGACGATGATGATGATGAAGATTCTTTCTGAACATAACCGAGATTTTTTATGCCGGCTTGATCACACACGGGAGAGGATACTTGACAGTGTAACCTTTGACATATGTGGTATTTAGGATGAGGATCACAGGTGGTAGGAAACATGTTTCAATTTAATAAATAATTATGTGTGTATGTGCAACACCGAACCTACAGATGTATGACGCGTACTGTTTAAATACAGTTACCTTTGACCTTATACTCATGATCATTTTATTACGTTATGTTATGAATACTTAACTTAGTTTTATTATTGTCCCACAATAGTAATAACAGATAATCATAAATTGAATTGTAATTGAGGTCGGCCTAAAAGAATGTGTATATAAAGTATTTTTCGGTGTTGCAAAACCGGAAAGTGGGCCGACTGCGACTGTTGTAATTCAGAGCATCGTCAGTCATTTGACAACTATTGTGCGATTACTATTACTTTTATTTTTAATAAACTAATTAATTATTCGGCAATACTATTTTATTTTATTCTATTTGTTACTCTCGTAACAGTTACAATGTATTTAAATTTTTTTATGCAAAACACTACCTTGAATTTTCAGCTATCCTTCCCCCGAAGACATTTAAATACTTTCATAAATGATAATCACAATGAAACCATTTGTCTTTCAATTTTATTTAGCTCCTTAACTGACTGTGAAACATGATTAAATTCAAATATTTTGTTCTAGTGACAAAAATATGATTGATTTAACAATACAAAATTATCGACCGTATTTTTTTTCAATGTGAGTACTCAATCAAATGTTATTTTTCAAATTCAACAATTTTAGTCTCTCTTAACTATCGTACTAAAAGTTATTAAAACTAAAAAATATTTTTTACAATATGTATCCGATTTAAAGTAACAAATTAAATATATTATACATTTATGCACTGTAAAATACAGTATATGTAGATACTTTTTCTTGAAGTATAAGTAATATACAGAGTGTTCAGTAAGTCAGGAAACGGGTTTCTATTGTTCTCATTGTT